CACCTAGACAATTTTTCATCATAATTTATTGAAAGCAAATACTTTTCAGTGTTAAAAATTGAATTAAACTTAAGCTATTGCAACAGTTTTAGCTGCTGACCCAAAAAAAAAAATCCAAACTGACTGACAGTTCGTTCTTCTCTTCTTTTTTTTGTTTCATGGCAGACAAATGTCCCTTTTTGCTGCTGACAAATGAGGGTACTTAAAATGTTCGTTCCAAAAAAAAAAAAAAAAAAATGGAAAATGAAAACGCCACACACATACACACAAAAAGAAAAATCGGGGCAAACCGAGAAAATATGCGGGTAAAGGTTAACATCGGTAAGACCAAAATCACAAAACGTGGCCCCATTTCGCTTTTTTTTCTCCTCGCGTTGGTTTTGTTTGGTTGTTGACAACTCTGCATAATTAACTGCAATGACGGGAATTAAACGAAAGACCAAAAAAAAAGGAAGAAAATGTTTAAATATTTGAGCGAATAATTAAATGTGCAGTCAGTCAGTCAGTCCTTGTGGAGGTATAAATTCATGCAAAAGGAAGGTAATTTCTTCTTTGTATGTTAATTAATTGAAACAGCCACTCCAGTTTAATGTCGAGTATAACCCAAGGGAATTATGTCCTCGTACTTTTGTCTGCCGTAAATAATTATATTCTCCAAATGTTTTATGTTTGTGAAATGACATTATTTGGAGGAGAGATTTATTTTGGGTAAGCGAAGAGATTTATGGTTTAATTAATTTGTAAAGCTGGTGAAAATTGATGCAGTTGGGGATAAATTAAAAAGGCCAAAAAATCTTTATATAGAAGATCAGAATGCCTTCTAACAGAAGACCAGAAGGTGATTATATGGAAGACCACAAGGTCTACTTATAGATGACCAGAAGGTCCTCTTACAGAAGACGAAAAGGTCTTCGTTGTAGAAGACCTATGGGTTTTCAAATGAAGATCTAAGGGTCTTTTCATACAAGAACAGGAGGTCCTTTTATAGAAGACCAGAGGGTTTTCTCATAGACCAGAAGGTCTACTTATAGAAGACCGGAAGAAGATTTTCATATCGAAGACCAGAAGCTCTGCTCATAGAAGGCCACAAGGTCTGCCCATAGAAGACCAGACAGTTTTCTCATAGAAGACCAGCAGGTTTTCTTCTCCGAGAAGACGAAAAGGTTTTTTTCGGAGAAGACCAGCAGGACTTCTTCTCGTAGAAGAGCAGAAGGTCTTCTCATAGAAGTCCCGAAGGTCTTCTCATGGAAGACCCGAAGGTCTTCTCATAGAAGACCCGAAGGTCTTCTCATAGAAGACCCGAAGGTCTTCTCATAGAAGACCCGAAGGTCTTCTCATAGAAGACCCGAAGGTCTTCTCATAGAAGACCCGAAGGTCTTCTCGTAGAAGACCCGAAGGTCTTCTCATAAAAGACCCAAAGGTCTTTTTATAGAAGACCAGAAGGTCTTCCCATAGAAAACCAGAAGAAGGTCTTCCCACAGAAGACGAAAAGGTCTTCTCATGGAAGACAAGAAGGTCTTCTTCTGGAGACCAGAAGTCTTTTTCTCATAGAAGGCACGAAGATCCTCTCATATCCTCTCTTTGTCCTTGAAGGAATATTCTTTAAAAATCCAGGGTCTTTAAAGGTTCCTAAGGGTTCTTAAAAATATTCTCTAAAAATCCAGTTTACTCCTGAAAGACTATCCTAAGGATCCTTAAAAATATTTTCTGAAAATCCAGGTTTACTCCTGAAAGACTATCCTAAGGGTCCTTAAAAATATTTTCTAAAAATCCAGGTTTAAACCTTGAAGGACTATTCTAAGAGTCCTTAAAAATATTCTTTAAAAATGCACGTAAAGTGCTAGTACTATCCTCTTTGTTTAAAAATCCACATTAAATGCTAGGACTATCCTATTTTTTAAAAATCCTTAACAATTCTTTTAAAATTTCTACGGGTCATAAAAATGGTTTTTTATAGTCTCCGTTTAGTCCTTGCAGGACCATCCTAAGGGTCTTTAAAAATCCACCTTTAGTCCTTTAACAAATAATCTTCTAAAATCCACGCTTAGTCTTTGAAGAAATACTCTTTAAAAAAATTTAACCTTTAGTTCTTGAAGAAATCTTAAAAATCCTTAAAAAAATATTCTTTCATAGTCCACGTTTAAAGTTCTGAGGGTCCTTGAAAAAATATTCTTTAAAAATCCACGTCTAAAAGTCTGAGGGTCCTTGAAGAAATATTCTTTAAAAATCCACGTCTAAAATTCTGAGGGTCCTTGAAAAAATATTCTTTAAAATTCACATTTAAAAGTCTGAGGTCCTTCAAAAATATTGTGTTAAAATCCACGCGAAATGTTAGAGGGTCCTTGAAGAAATATTCTTTAAAAATCCACGTTTAAAGGTCAGAGGGTTCTTCAAAAAATATTTTTGAAAAATCCACGTTTAAAGGTGTAAGGGTTCTTTGAAAAATATTCTTTAAAAATCCACGTCTAAAGGACTGAGGGTCCTTGAAAAAATGTTATTTAAAAATCTATGTCTAAAGATGTGAGTGTCCTTGCAAAAATATTCTTTAAAAATCCACGTTTAAAGGTCTAGGAGTCCTTAAATAATATTCCTTACAAAATCCAGTTTAAAGGTCTAGGAGTCCTTAAATAATATTCCTTACAAAATCCAGTTTAAAGGTCTAGGAGTCCTTAAATAATATTCCTTACAAAATCCAGTTTAAAGGTCTGAGGTCCTTCTAAAAACATTCTTTAAAAATTCTCGTTTAATGGTCTGAGCTCCTGCTAAAAATATTCTTTAAAAATCCACGTTGTAAGGTCTGAGGGTCCTTCTAAAAATCCACGTTTAAAGGTCTGAAGGTCCTTGAAAAAATATTCTTCAGAAATCCACATCTAAACGTCTGAGGGTCCTGGAAAAAAGTATTCTTTAAAAATCCACGTCTAAAAGTCTGAGGTTCCTGGAAAAAAGTATTCTTTAAAAATCCACGTCTAAAAGTCTGAGGTTCCTGGAAAAAAGTATTCTTTAAAAATCCACGTCTAATAGTCTGAGGTTCCTTGAAAAAATATTCTTCAAAAATCCACGTCTAAAAGTCTGAGGTTCCTTGAAAAAATGTTCTTTAAAAATCCACGTCTAAAAGTCTGAGGTTCCTTGAAAAAATATTCTTTAAAAATCTACGTCTAAAAGTCTGAGGTTCCTGGAAAAAAGTATTCTTTAAAAATCCACGTCTAAAAGTCTGAGGTTCCTTGAAAAAATATTCTTTAAAAATCCACGTCTAAAAGTCCAAGGGTCCTTCTAAAAATATTTTTTAAAAATCAACGTCTAAAAGGCTGAGGATCCTTGAAAAAATATTCTTTAAAAATCTACGTCTAAAGGACTGAGGATCCTTGAAAAAAATATTATTTAAAAGACTACCTCTAAAGATGTGAGTGTCCTTGAAAAAATATTCTTTAAAACTCCACGTTTAAAGGCCTAGGAGTCCTTAAATAATATTCCTTAAAAAGTCTAGTTTAAAGGTCTGAGGTCCTTCTAAAAACATTCTTTAAAAATTCTCGTTTAATGGTCTGAGGTCCTGCTAAAAATATTCTTTAAAAATCCACGTTGTAAGGTCTGAGGGTCCTTGAAATATTCTTTAGAAATCCACATCTAAAGGTCTGAGGGTCCTTGAAGAAATATTTCTTAAAAAATCATTGAAGAAATATATTTTAAAAATCCAAGTTGAGTCGTTGAAGAAATTTTCTTTAAAAATCCGCGTTTAGTTCTTGGAAAAAATGTTCTTTAAAAATCCACATTTAGTCCTTAAAAATATGTTATTTAAAAATCAACATTTAGTCCTTCAGAAATATTCTTTAAATTTCCACGTTTGGTCCTTGAAAATTTATTCTTTAAAAATCCACATTTATAGGCCTGAGGGTCCGTCTAAAAATATTCTTTAAGGGTCTGTTGGCCCCAGCAGAAATATTCTTTAAAAAGGGTCCTTCAAAATATATTCTTAAAAAAATCAATTTTATAATTCTAAGGGTCCTGTTTTGAGGGTCCCTTTTAAAAAAGTCTGTTGGTCTAGGCTAAAATATTCCCCCCTCATTTTTTGGGAATTAAAATTTCCCTTTGATGACATCGACCAAAAATTCCTGCCTAATTCCTGGAAACATAAAATTTCTGTCCTTAATCTTTTCTTTTTTTTGGCGAGTTCGCCTTTTGATTTGACATGATGCGTAAATGTTTCTACAAAGCGACAAATGACAGCCTCCAGCTGTTCGTGTAATATCATTATGCTAAGTGAAATTGCTATGCAATGTTTTGTGTGATTATCAGTCTCCGCCCCCCGCGCTTTGCCCCTTTACAACCACACTCCCTCAAAACAGCGACATCGTGCGACAAATCCTTTCTTTCTTTGTGTGTCTTTTTCTTTCTTTTCCTTTGCTTTCGTTCTTGTTAATGATGGCATATTAACATAAAATTATAATTTTCAAGAAAGGCTTGATTAGAAGGGGTGAGACGCGAGGAGAAGGGGGAATGGATGGAAGGAAAAAGGTAAAGATCGAAATGTTAAAAATAGAACATTTCTCTGCCTTAATATGTGTTCAATCCTTTGCAATCGCTGTAATGTGAATGAGTTTTTTTTTGCTAAGGAAGAAGGCATTTTGTAAGGGGTAGGGGGTCGAAAGGGGGTAAGGTGTATCAAGTGTGTGGTGCTGGAGATGGCTTTGCCAAAGCAAATGATAATGGTGAAATAAAATTGTAACAACGAGCAAATAATGAAGTGTAATTTTCCTTTTTGCAGCCATTTGCATTTTCCACAGCAGAGAATTGTAAAAAAAATGTTCTCCGCCAGGATAATGCCTTTCAAAGTACCACGTCATAAAAAGTAAATGTGAAAAAAGAGTAATGATTACTTTTGTAAAAGCATTGCATGAACTGATTCAAATATTGATTTATTGAAGTGAAAAAGAAATTTCAGAAATTTTGAAAAGAATTGAAAAATAGTTTAAATTAAAAAAAAAAAATCTTCAAAAATACAAACTTTAAAGAAAAGTGATTTTCCGGTGAATTCAACTACTTCACGCTGCCATTGATTGCAGCAGCAGCAACAGCAGAACAACAACACATCCATCAGCATCAACATCAAAAACCACCAGCCACAATTGCATCTTGAAACCTTAATATCGTATTCCATGGATAACAGCAGCTACTTTGAATACAACGGATTTTCATTTCATTTCACAGAAAACATTTTAGAAAATGGGTAAGTCTTAGTCTTAAGCATCTTGAAAAGCTTTTATTAGAATTTAGAAGAATATAAAAGAAAGAGAGAAAGAAGCTTTCATTGTTTCCACACCATAATGACACGTTCTAAGAAGTTACTTTTTCCTTTGTGAATAATTCTAAAAAGGATTTTTCCAAGGAACATTTCTAAGAATCCGCTGTAAATGCAACGCAAAGAAAAGGCTTTCATTTCGTGGAACGCCATGACATTTTCAAACGAAAAAGGGATATTAGAACGAGACGAAAGTAAGAAAAGCAGTAGAGTTCAGTTGGGTCGAACTATCCTTATTTTTACCAAATAGGGTCCTTAAAAAAATATTCCTTATAAATCCAAGTTTAAAGGTCTAAGGGTCCTTCAAGAAATATTCTTTAAAAAATCACTATTCCTAGAAAAAATATTTTTTAAAAATCCAGGTTTAAAGGTCTAAGAGTCCTTGAAAAAATATTCTTTAAAAATCTACTTTTAAAGGACATAGGGTCTTTCAATAAATATTACTTAAAAATCCACGTTCATTAAAAATTCAAGTTTAAAGGTCTAATGTTCCGTCAAAAATATGTTTTAAATATCGACGTCTAAAAGGACTGAGGGTCTTTGAAAAATCATTTCTAAAAAATCCACTTTTAAAGATCTTAGAGTCCTTGAAAAAATATTCTTCAAAAATCCACGATTAAGGGTCTAAGAGTGCTTAAAAAAATTCTTTAAAAATTCACGTTTAAAGGACTAAGAGTCCTTGGAAAAATATTCTTTAAAAATCCACGTTTAAAGGTCTAAGAGTCCTCAAAAAAACTATTTTTTTAAAAATCCAAGTTCAAAGGTATAATGGTCTGTCAAAAATATTCTTTAAATATCCCCGTCTAAAAAGATTGAGGATTCTTAAAAAAATATTCTTTAAAAATCCAAGTTTAAAGGTCTCAGAGTCCTTGAAAAAATATTATTTAAAAATCCGCGTTTAAAGGTCTAACAGTCCTTGAAAAAATATCCACGTTGAAAGGTCTAATAGTCCTTCAAAAAATATTCTTAAAAAATCCACGTTTAAGGGTCTAAGAGTCCTTAAAAAATATTCTTTAAAAATCCACGTTTAAGGGTCTAAGAGTCCTTAAAAAAATATTCTTTAAAAATCCACGTTTAAGGGTCTAAGAGTACTTAAAAAAAATATTCTTTAAAAATCAACGTTTAAAGGTCTAAGAGTCCTTGAAAAAATATTCTTTAAAAATCAACGTTTAAAGGTCTAAGAGTCCTTGAAAAAATATTCTTTAAAAATCCACGTTTAAAGGTCTAAGAGTCCTTGAAAAAATATTCTTTAAAAATCCACGTTTAAAGGTCTAAGAGTCCTTGAAAAAATATTCTTAAAAAATCCACGTTTAAGGGTCTAAGAGTCCTTAAAAAAATATTCTTTAAAAATCCACGTTTAAGGGTCTAAGAGTGCTTAAAAAAATATTCTTTAAAAATCAACGTTTAAGGGTCTAAGAGTACTTAAAAAAATATACTTTAAAAATCCACGTTTAAGGGTCTAAGAGTGCTTAAAAAAATATTCTTTAAAAACCCACGTTTAAAGGCCTTAGGATCCTTGAAAAAATATTCTTAAAAAATCCATGTTTAAAGGTCTGAGGATCCTTGAAAAAATATTCTTTAAAAATCCACGTTTAAAGGTCCGAGGATCCTTGAAAAAATATTCTTTAAAAATCTACGTTTAAATGTCTAAGAGTCCTTGACAAAATATTCTTTTCAATATCCACGTTTAAAGGTCTGAGGAAAAAATATTCTTTAAAAATCCATGTTTAAAGTTCTGAGGATCCTTAAAAAATATTCTTTAAAAATCCACGTTTAAAGTTCTGAGGATCCTTAAAAAATATTCTTTAAAAATCCACGTTTAAAGTTCTGAGGATCCTTAAAAAATATTCTTTAAAAATCCACGTTTAAGGGTCTCATGGTCCGTCAAAGATATTTTTTCAATATCCAGGTTTAAGGGTCTCAGAGTTCATGGAAAAAAAATATTCTATTAAAATCCACGTTTAAAACTCTGTTTTATCTGTCACTTTCGGACCAAGACTGAACCTTACCAAAAATTACAATATTCTACAGCCGTTTCGCCTGGGCGTTGATGAATCGTTACTGTACTCTTTTAATAATAGAGACAGATTGTGATTGCCCCCATAACTCCCCATGTAATGGAGTCTCCTGAAGTTCGGTATTTCCAATGGTTCACAGACGTTTCGGGGATTTTAGTAGGTAAGCTTTCCTCTTACGAAACATTTTCGATCTGGGTCCACTAGTTGATAGCTCCAATTAATAGAGCCTACCGACTTTTAAGTTTCTCCAAGGATTCAGGTGCATTTTCCAACTGTAATAGGACGAGTATAGTTCTCAAAGGATATAAAACTGTACGGTATGTATTCCATGTGGTGGTATTTATTGATTGTGTCAGTCCCAATGTTCAAGTTTTTTGGACAAAAGTGATCCGCTACGAAGACATTTCAATTTCAGTCTACATTGTTCTGTTTATAATTTTAAAATCCGATTTCGACCGTTGAGAACCTTTATCCTTTGGCTTCGATTCTGGGATGTAACACCCTCCTCCGAGTAACTCCGATTTTTTCGTTTAGGTTACTGCATTTTACTCGATTCGAGACTACAAAAAGACTCTTACGTCCGTTAGCACTGGCTCCCTTAAATTTTTTGGTGGCAAACTGTTTGGATGGCCTCCTGTCCGAAAAATAACTTTAGAAAGGTTTTCTGTTTTTAGAAGACCCTTTAAGAGGCAAGAGGATACCAACGTCACTTAAAGGCTTCAAATCAAATTAAGTACCCCAACAGAAAACTTAATTTTAAAAAAACTATAATGCCAACATGATGCCCATTTTTTCTATCACGTTCTCTATTTTTGACATCGTTGAGCTCCATTTACTTGTCGAGCAGCAACGTGGCTGTTTTCTCTCTTTATGTTCTCTTTATTTTCTTTCTTTTCTGCATTCTCCTTTTTGTCCACCTTTTTTTTATCTACTTTTAACTTGACATGCTAACTTGGTAAATGACTTATGGCCATGTTCAGCGCTGCCACTGCTGTTGGCCTGTTGTCGTTGCCGTAGAAACGTTTTTTCTGATGTTCCCGTGATGATGATGATGATGAGAGCGATGATGATGCTGATGAATACCAACAAAATCAGCCAGCCTTAAGCATTATAATGTCCCGACAAGCAACGTTCAACGTTCATTCTTGGAACCGCGGCGAGTTCAATGATGTCAATGCTTTAGGCCAGCTATGATTGTTTAAACTATGAAACTTGAGAGGAGCAGGACTATTTTTTTAGTCTTTTTTACGACTTTTGGGTAGATTTCTCGTTTTGTAACATATCCTCCGGGGAGAGACACTGCAGCAGAGAATTCATTTGGTTCGTGACACTTTGGTTGTGCAATAGGAGTTATGTTTTTTTTTTGAATGTTGCCTTTGGAGGTAAATGGAAATTGATAGGTCGTTGTGATTTGCTATTGACGTAGCTATATATGTATATAGGTATGTAGGATGAAAATAAAATTGAGTTTTCAATTCTCCAAAATTTAAAATTCTTTTAAATCCTAAAGATGCTTGAGAAGGTCTTCAGAGCATTGCATAACACTTAGAAGAAGAAGAATATTTTTTTGATATCCTTTCTCCATGGAAGACCCATTAGAAGTCCTTTGAATATAGAAGACCTTCTTCTAAAGAAGGTCTAGGTCTTCTTTCTAAAGAAAATGTTATAAGGTTTTCTCTTTCTTCAACCCTTCAACCTTCTTCTTTCAATAGAAGCACTTATGGAGACCTTTTTGGAGGATTTCTTTTCAAAAATTTCCTCCTGGATATATTCTTTACATCGGAGACCTTCATTAGATTTTCTTTCTAATGAAGGCCTTGGGGATGTCTTCTTTCAAGAGGACTTCTTTTTATAGAAGTCCTTCTATAGGCCTTCTTCCTGAAGAAGACCTTCTATAGGCCTTCTTTCTGTAGAAGACCTTCTGAAGACTATTTTCCGGTAGAAGAAAGAAGGAGGTATTTCAACAATAAGACATTCTGGAGGTCGTTTTATAAAAGATCATATGCTGGATCTTCCGAACATCTTCTAGCCATGGAAGACTTTATAGAGGTTTTCTTCCATAGACGACTTTCTAAAGATCTTCCAAGTATAGAATACCTTCTAAAGGTCTTCTAACTATGAAAGATCTACTGGAAGTCTTTTAACTATAGATCTGTCTGAGACTACTTGAATGCCTTCTGAAGGTCTCTTTTACTGTAGAAGAGGAGGTCCTTTAACTATAGAAGACCTTTCGGAGGCCTTCTAAGTATAGAAGACCCTTGGAGTTCTTCTAAATACCTTCTAACTATAGAAGACCATCTGTACCTTCTGGATGCCTTCTAACTATAGAAGACCTTCTTGAGGTCTTCCAACTATACAAAACCTCTTGGTGACCTTCTAACTATAGAAGACCTTCTGGAGGTCCCTTAACTATAGAAGATCTTCAGAAGGTCCTTAAGCTATAAAAGATCTTTTGGGGATCTTCTAACTATAGAAGACCGTTTGGAGATCTTCTAACTATAGAAGACCTTCTGAAGGTCTTCTAACTATATAACACCTTCTAGAGGACTTCTAACTATAGAAGACCTCCTAGAGGTCTTTTTACTATAGAAGGCCTTGTGTAGGTCTTCTACCTGTAGAACACCTTGCTAGGATATCTTCTAACTATAAAATACTTTCTGGAGGTCTTCTAACTATAGAAGACCTTCGAGATGTCTTGAAACTATAGAACACGCTCCAGACCTCTAACTTCTTCTAACTATAGAGGATCTTCTGGAGGTCTTCTAAGTATAGAAGATCTTCTTTAGGTCTTCTAACTATAGAAGATCTTCTGGAGGTCCTCTTACTCTAGATGACCTCTCCTGTATAGAATACCTTCTGGAAGTCTTTAACCTATAGATCTGTTTGAGACTTCCTCGAGGCCTCCAGGTG